AGGCCGTCCTCATCAACCAGACAGCCCGTCCTCATCAACCAGGCAGGCCGTCCTCATCAACCAGACAGCCCGTCCTCATCAACCAGACAGCCCGTCCTCATCAACCAGGCAGTCCATCCTCATCAACCAGACAGCCCGTCCTCATCAACCAGGCAGGCCGTCCTCATCAACCAGACAGCCCGTCCTCATCAACCAGACAGCCCGTCCTCATCAACCAGACAGCCCGTCCTCATCAACCAGGCAGTCCGTCCTCATCAACCAGACAGCCCGTCCTCATCAACCAGGCAGGCCGTCCTCATCAACCAGACAGCCCGTCCTCATCAACCAGACAGCCCGTCCTCATCAACCAGGCAGTCCGTCCTCATCAACCAGACAGCCCGTCCTCATCAACCAGGCAGTCCGTCCTCATCAACCAGGCAGTCCGTCCTCATCAACCAGACAGTCCGTCCTCATCAACCAGACAGTCCGTCCTCATCAACCAGACAGCCCGTCCTCATCAACCAGACAGTCCGTCCTCATCAACCAGACAGTCCGTCCTCATCAACCAGACAGCCCGTCCTCATCAACCAGGCAGTCCGTCCTCATCAACCAGACAGCCCGTCCTCATCAACCAGACAGCCCGTCCTCATCAACCAGGCAGCCCGTCCTCATCAACCAGGCAGCCCGTCCTCATCAACCAGACAGCCCGTCCTCATCAACCAGGCAGGCCGTCCTCATTAACCAGACAGCCCGTCCTCATCAACCAGGCAGCCCGTCCTCATCAACCAAGCAGTTAACCCAAGACTCACAACTGATGACGAATTCAATTTCTTTTTTCAATATGCACCCTATACCCGTCCCGTGGGCGGTGGTGTAAAGGATTACAGAGGCACATAATCAGTTCAGTTCCCTCTAGTTCTGATGACGTCCGAGCATTACTCGAACAATGCGTCACTGACGAGTCTTGTTCGAGCCACAACGCTGTAAATGCTTCACCCACGCACTACAAATACAAATAATCGCCAACAGAACCTAAACATGTAACCTAAACCAATCAAACCTAACCTAATCTAACCTAAACCAATCAAACCAAACCTACTTACCCAAACTTAACCTAACCTACATCAAACCTAATCTAACTTATCTTACCTTTGCCAAACTTAACCTAACTTACCCTAACCTAACCTAACCTTAACCTACACCAAACCTTACTCAGTTAACCTGTTTACTCGGTTAACGTGGTTGTTTACTCGGTTAACGTGGTTGTTTACTCGGTTAACGTGGTTGTTTACTCGGTTAACGTGGTTGTTTACTCGGTTAACGTGGTTGTTTACTCGGTTAACGTGGTTGTTTACTCGGTTAACGTGGTTGTTTACTCGGTTAACGTGGTTGTTTACCCGGTTAACGTGGTTGTTTACCCGGTTAACGTGGTCGTTTACCCGGTTAACGTGGTCGTTTACCCGGTTAACGTGGTTGTTTACTTGGTTAACACTCCCGGCCTGTGTGAAGGCGGGGTTGAGAAGGTTTAATCTACTATTCTACTGCATCATATCTACTCTGTTATCCATCCTGCAGGTCAGCTGCGAGCTTATACAGACTTACTTGGATGTTAGTAAGTCATCATATGACTTACAGACAACCTGGAACTTACCTGGAGTGGGTTCTGGTGGTTCTTGTACACCTTAAGCCAAGGCTTGACTTGTGATAGTCAGGGCCAGTGGGCCCTGGCCCTCCAGTGGGCCCTGGCCCCCTAGTGGGCCCTTGCCCCCTAGTGGGCCCTGGTCCTCCAGTGGGCCCTAGACTTCCAGTGGGCCCTGACCTTCCAGTGGGCGCCTGGCCCTCCAGTGGGCCCACTGGAAGGGCCCGGGCTCTCCAGTGGGCCCGGGCCCACCAGTGACACTGGCCCTTCAGTGGGCCCCTGGCTTTCCAGTGGGCCCCTGGCCCTCCAGTGGCCCTGGCCTTCCAGTGGACCCCTGGCCTTCCAGTGGGCCCTGGCCTTCCAGTGGACCCCTGGCCTTCCAGTGGCCCTGGCCTTCCAGTGGACCCCTGGCCTTCCAGTGGGCCCTGGCCTTCCAGTGGCCCCTGGCCCTCCAGTGGGCCCCTGGCCCTCCAGTGGGCCCCTGGCCTCCCAGTTGACCCATGTATATATCATGCCAACTCTCACGTCTCATCTCTAAAATATTTATCTTTCATTCTGTTTATTAATCGACGTATTTCTCCTACGTATATTAATATTTTCACACATTGTGGGGTTCTACAGAGCTATGTGTAGGGTAGGTTAGGGTAGGGTAGGTTAGGTTAAGTTAGGGTAGGGTAGAGTAGGGTAGGTTTGGTTAGGTTAGGTTAGGGTAGGTTTGGTAAGTTTTGGCTACGTTGATTTACAGAGTATATACATCATAAACTGAATGTAAATGAAGTTCGTTTACGGTCCAATGCACAGGTAGTATAGATTTTGTCAAGGTGTTGCATAAGCAATAGACTCTTGACTCTTGTTTTATTTTAAGTCTATTGCAGGAAAACGCAGTGCGCTGTAAACAGGACTAGAATAAAATACATCACAGCAGGTATACCAATCATCCTTCAAAACTATTTATCTGAAACAGGATTTGTAGATAAAGGGACACAAGTTCGATCCCATCGTATGACCTCTCGCCATAGTTCAGTGAGTATGGCGTATGCCTGGAGAGCTCAGAGGCGCAGTGTAATCAAAGATATATTTTGTTCCAGCGATGTGATTGGTCAAGCAATCAGCAAATTAGGACATTCTGTAGAGTAATTATTTCTCTCTCTCTCTCTCTCTCTCTCTCTCTCTCTCTCTCTCTCTCTCTCTCTCTCTCTCTCTCTCTCTCTCTCTCTCTCTCTCTCTCTCTCTCTCTCTCTCTCTCTCTCTCTCTCTCTCTCTCTCTCTCTCTCTCTCTCTCTCTCTCTCTCTCTCTCTCTCTCTCTCTCTCTCTCTCTCTCTCTCTCTCTCTCTCTCTCTCTCTCTCTCTCTCTCTCTCTCTCTCACACAATACCATAGCACCATAACAGAAAGAATAATTTGTCAACAAAATACATTTTCCTAATGCAAATACCCTCAACATAATGCTAAAACGAAACTACTTAAATATCCATGGCAGCTCCCAGACCCATAACATTATATCTAAATATAAAAATTAATACAAATGTTGTATTAAAAACAAAGCGCCATTAACGTCACACAGAAAAGGAAGGTTGGGTGTCGTTTACATCACCGGCTCATATTTATAAATTTTTCTGGGAAACAGAAGCGGAACTTAGCAGTCAATGAGTCAATATGTATTAATATGTGGTCTCATAAATTAGATTCTGGGGTGTGTACGTTCACACTAAGTCAGGAGAATTGACCTGATGCATTGGTCTATATCAGTCGTTATAAGCACCAACTTAGCTGGGTGATTTGGCTAAATTGTTAGCTTAGCTGGTTCCTAAGCCATTTACCATGAAGCCATGGTTCATGGCTTAGGTTCTTCATAAAGTTCCTAAGCCATGAACTGCCAAATAGCTAAGTCAGGTGAACCAAGCTGAGGGATTTGTCAACAATGGTTCATTGTAAGCCACAATCCCACGCATCTAAACTAAGTAAGCAAAACAAACTGTTGTTAACAGACAACAAAATCCACTATATGCAACAGACAAGTAAGTTGATGTGCTGGCCAATATCAGGTCACTACAAGTCCTAATGACGGCATCATTGAAGGTCCACTAACAACCCAAACACATATTGGGTCGTTAAACTTGTGATAAGTGATGTTGCCTCTGATTATTTCTCACGCCAACGTATTTCTCACGTCACGTAAAGCCAAACAAGGTGTTTCGTTTTAGTTCAATGTTATCTTATGTTGAAAGAGATAAGAGTCAGTCGAGCAGGCCGTCACACAGACAGTACTTAGGCGCAGGTTTCCTGTTATGTTGATGAACAAGTTCTACTCCCACACACCAACCAGGCTAAGGAAACTTTGATAGCAATATGTGAAAGATATAGTTCATTCAACAGTCTAACGTTCAATCCTGCCAAATGTGCTCTAGTTCCCTTTATAACTCACAGGATTCCTTTTACATTGATCCCAAAGTAATATTACTAGGCAGAGATATTCCAGTAAAGTATTATGAGAAGCATTTGGGGCGTATTGTTTCCTCTAATGGTCCACTTGGCATTTTTTTCTGATGCAATTACGTACCTAAAAGCCTGAAGAAATATCACTATGAGTTAATTCGATCATCTTGAAACCTGGTTGACAGTATAGTCATTTAACGATCAATGTTTAAGCTTGTGTGGAAGTGAACTATGGGACCCTCAAAGTGGTCATTAGGTAAGCTTAACTGTGAATGGAGGAAGTGCTCACGACGGATCTTCTGAGTCCCTTCTTGCCCTCACAGCAGTCTAACACCAGGTCACCTGAAGTAATTACATTTAAGAAACACTTCACAAACAAATTCAATCATTTTTCCTGGAGGTAATCACCTATCCAGCAATCTCAATCAATACTTTTTTGTTCATCTACTTGTCACTGTTCACTCTCCTACTGTTCCAGAAACATCAACTTGGAATATATGAAAGACGTCATCAGAGGGAGCCGGAAGACCCGGCAGCCGGATATGTGGAAGACTAAAGACCAACTGTCACAAATAGACGGCTGACTGACAGGCATTTGGAGTCCTATTGACAACAGATGAATATCACATGAGCTGTGTTGGCCGTGATTGTGAGCCGGGATAACGCCACAAGCTGTTCATAATGACGCCCAGGGTGTGAACAATGGTATGTTGAACACTCAGGGTGTGAACAATGGTATGTTGAACACTCAGGGTGTGAACAATAGTATGTTGAACACTCAGGGTGTGAACAATGGTATGTTGAACACTCAGGGTGTGAACAATAGTATGTTGAACACTCACGGTGTGAACAATGGTATGTTGAACGCTGAGGGTGTGAACAATGGTATGTTGAACGCTGAGGGTGTGAACAATGGTATGTTGAACGCTGAGGTGTGAACAATGGTATGTTGAACGCTGAGGGTGTGAACAATGGTATGTTGAACGCTGAGGGTGTGAACAATGGTATGTTGAACACTCAGGGTGTGAACAATGGTATGTTGAACACTCAGGGTGTGAACAATGGTATGTTGAACACTCAGGGTGTGAACAATGGTATGTTGAACGCTCAGGGTGTGAACTACGGTATGTTGAACGCTGAGGGTGTGAACAATGGTATGTTGAACGCTCAGGGTGTGAACAATGGTATGTTGAACACTCAGGGTGTGAACTACGGTATGTTGAACGCTGAGGGTGTGAACAATGGTATGTTGAACGCTCAGGGTGTGAACAATGGTATGTTGAACACTCAGGGTGTGAACAATGGTATGTTGAACACTCAGGGTGTGAACAATAGTATGTTGAACACTCAGGGTGTGAACAATGGTATGTTGAACACTCAGGGTGTGAACAATAGTATGTTGAACACTCACGGTGTGAACAATGGTATGTTGAACGCTGAGGGTGTGAACAATGGTATGTTGAACGCTGAGGGTGTGAACAATGGTATGTTGAACGCTGAGGGTGTGAACAATGGTATGTTGAACGCTGAGGGTGTGAACAATGGTATGTTGAACGCTGAGGGTGTGAACAATGGTATGTTGAACACTCAGGGTGTGAACAATGGTATGTTGAACACTCAGGGTGTGAACAATGGTATGTTGAACACTCAGGGTGTGAACAATGGTATGTTGAACGCTCAGGGTGTGAACTACGGTATGTTGAACGCTGAGGGTGTGAACAATGGTATGTTGAACGCTCAGGGTGTGAACAATGGTATGTTGAACACTCAGGGTGTGAACTACGGTATGTTGAACGCTGAGGGTGTGAACAATGGTATGTTGAACGCTCAGGGTGTGAACAATGGTATGTTGAACGCTCAGGGTGTGAACAATGGTATGTTGAACGCTCAGGGTGTGAACAATGGTATGTTGAACGCTCAGGGTGTGAACAATGGTATGTTGAACGCTCAGGGTGTGAACAATGGTATGTTGAACACTCAGGGTGTGACTACGGTATGTTGAACGCTGAGGGTGTGAACAATGGTATGTTGAACGCTCAGGGTGTGAACAATGGTATGTTGAACGCTCAGGGTGTGAACAATGGTATGTTGAACGCTCAGGGTGTGAACAATGGTATGTTGAACACTCAGGGTGTGAACTACGGTATGTTGAACGCTGAGGGTGTGAACAATGGTATGTTGAACACTCACGGTGTGAACAATGGTATGTTGAACACTCAGGGTGTGAACAGTGGTATGTTGAACACTCAGGGTGTGAACAATGGTACGTTGAACGCTGAGGGTGTGAACAATGGTATGTTGAACGCTCAGGGTGTGAACAATGGTACGTTGAACGCTGAGGGTGTGAACAATGGTATGTTGAACGCTCAGGGTGTGAACAATGGTACGTTGAACGCTGAGGGTGTGAACAATGGTATGTTGAACGCTCAGGGTGTGAACAATGGTATGTTGAACGCTCAGGGTGTGAACAATGGTATGTTGAACGCTCAGGGTGTGAACAATGGTATGTTGAACACTCAGGGTGTGAACTACGGTATGTTGAACGCTGAGGGTGTGAACAATGGTATGTTGAACACTCACGGTGTGAACAATGGTATGTTGAACACTCAGGGTGTGAACAGTGGTATGTTGAACACTCAGGGTGTGAACAATGGTACGTTGAACGCTGAGGGTGTGAACAATGGTATGTTGAACGCTCAGGGTGTGAACAATGGTACGTTGAACGCTGAGGGTGTGAACAATGGTATGTTGAACGCTCAGGGTGTGAACAATGGTACGTTGAACGCTGAGGGTGTGAACAATGGTATGTTGAACGCTCAGGGTGTGAACAATGGTACGTTGAACGCTGAGGGTGTGAACAATGGTATGTTGAACGCTCAGGGCGTGAACAATGGTATGTTGAACGCTGAGGGTGTGAACAATGGTATGTTGAACACTGAGGGTGTGAACAATGGTGTGTTGAACAGTGAGGGTGTGAACAATGGTATGTTGAACGCTGAGGGTGTGAACAATGGTATGTTGAACAGTGAGGGTGTGAACAATGGTATGTTGAACGCTGAGGGTGTGAACAATGGTATGTTGAACACTGAGGGTGTGAACAATGGTATGTTGAACGCTGAGGGTGTGAACAATGGTATGTTGAACACTGAGGGTGTGAACAATGGTATGTTGAACACTGAGGGAGTGAACAATGGTATATAACTTGAATGATTCGGTCATAAGTTCTTCATATTGCCTTCTTCAGTTGTGATATAAAGTGTGCTAGTATCTCTAATGCTACACTAGTATCTCTAATGCTACACTAGTATCTCTAGTGCTACACTAGTATCTCTAATGCTACACTAGTATCTCTAATGCTACACTAGTATCTCTAATGCTACATTAGAATCTCTAATGCTACACTAGTATCTCTAGTGCTACACTAGTATCTCTAATGCTACACTAGTATCTCTAGTGCTACACTAGTATCTCTAATGCTACACTAGTATCTCTAATGCTACACTAGTATCTCTAATGCTACACTAGTATCTCTAATGCTACACTAGTATCTCTAGTGCTACACTAGTATCTCTAATGCTACACTAGTATCTCTAATGCTACATTAGAATCTCTAATACTTCTCTAATGCTACACAAGTATCTCTAATGCTACACTAGTATCTCTAATGCTACACTAGTATCTCTAATGCTACTCTAATGCTACACTAGAATCTCTAATACTTCTCTAATGCTACACTAGTATCTCTAATGCTACTCTAATGCTACACTAGAATCTCTAATACTTCTCTAATGCTACACTAGTATCTCTAATGCTACACTAGTATCTCTAATGCTACACTAGTATCTCTAGTGCTACACTAGTATCTCTAATGCTACACTAGTATCTCTAATGCTACACTAGTATCTCTAGTGCTACACTAGTATCTCTAGTGCTACACTAGTATCTCTAATGCTACACTAGTATCTCTAGTGCTACACTAGTATCTCTAATGCTACACTAGTATCTCTAGTGCTACACTAGTATCTCTAATGCTACACTAGTATCTCTAATGCTACACTAGTATCTCTAATGCTACACTAGTATCTCTAATGCTACACTAGTATCTCTAATGCTACACTAGTATCTCTAATGCTACTCTAATGCCACACTAGAATCTCTAATACTTCTCTAATGCTACACTAGTATCTCTAATGCTACACTAGTATCTCTAATGCTACACTAGTATCTCTAATGCTACACTAGTATCTCTAATGCTACACTAGTATATCTAATGCTACACTAGTATCTCCAATGCTACACTAGTATCTCTAATGCTACACTAGTATCTCTAATGCTACACTAGTATATCTAATGCTACTCTATTGCTACATTAGAATCTCTAGTACTTCTCTAATGCTACACTAGTATATCTAATGCTGCTCTAATGCTACATTAGAATGTCTAATACTTCTCTAATGCTTCTCTAATGCTACACTAGTATCTCTAATGCTACACTAGTATCTCTAATGCTACACTAGTATCTCGAATGCTACACTAGTATCTCTAATGCTACACTAGTATCTCTAATGCTACATTAGAATCTCTAATACTTCTCTAATGCTACATTAGAATCTCTAATACTTCTCTAATGCTTTATTGGAATCTCTAATATTTCTCTAATGCTACACTAGTATCTCTAATGCTTCTCTAATGCTACATTAGAATCTCTAATAATTCTCTAATGCTACATTAGAATCTCTAATAATTCTCTAATGGTACATTAGAATCTCTAATGCTTCTCTAATGCTACATTAGAATCTCTAATAATTCTCTAATGGTACATTAGAATCTCTAATGCTTCTCTAATGCTACATTAGAATCTCTAATAATTCTCTAATGCTACATTAGAATCTCTAATGCTTCTCTAATGCTACATTAGAATCTCTAATGCTTCTCTAATGCTACATTAGAATCTCTAATGCTTCTCTAATGCTACATTAGAATCTCTAATAATTCTCTAATGCTACATTAGAATCTCTAATAATTCTCTAATGCTACATTAGAATCTCTAATAATTCTCTAATGCTACACTACGGTTGAACTCGTGAAAAAACAAAAATTGTGCTCGGTGAGTACTGTATAAATACAACCATACAGTACCCAGTAATGTCGTTGAGGCCACCCCAGACGACGACAATATACTCACACCACCGACTCACCTTATTCACCGACTCACAGCACTGACTCACCTCATTCACCGACTCACAGCGCTGACTCACCTCATTCACCGACTCACAGCACTGACTCACCTCATTCACCGACTCACAGCGCTGACTCACCTCATTCACCGACTCACAGCACTGACTCACCTCATTCACCGACTCACAGCACTGACTCACCTCATTCACCGACTCACAGCGCTGACTCACCTCATTCACCGACTCACAGCACTGACTCACCTCATTCACCGACTCACAGCACTGACTCACCTCATTCACCGACTCACAGCACTGACTCACCTCATTCACCGACTCACAGCACTGACTCACCTCATTCACCGACTCACAGCGCTGACTCACCTCATTCACCGACTCACAGCACTGACTCACCTTATTCACCGACTCACAGCACTGACTCACCTTATTCACCGACTCACAGCACTGACTCACCTTATTCACCGACTCACAGCACTGACTCACCTCATTCACCGACTCACAGCACTGACTCACCTCATTCACCGACTCACAGCACTGACTCACCTTATTCACCGACTCACATCACCGACTCACCTCATTCACCGACTCACAACTCACAGCACTGACTCACCTCATTCACCGCTCACAGCACTGACTCACCTCATTCACCGACTCACCTCATTCACCGACTCACAGCACTGACTCACCTCATTCACCGACTCACCTCATTCACCGACTCACCTCATTCACCGACTCACCTCATTCACCGCTCACAGCACTGACTCACCTCATTCACCGACTCACAGCACTGACTCACACCACCGACTCACCTCATTCACCGCTCACAGCACTGACTCACCTCATTCACCGACTCACCTCATTCACCGCTCACAGCACTGACTCACCTCATTCACCGACTCACAGCACTGACTCACCTCATTCACCGACTCACAGCGCTGACTCACCTCATTCACCGACTCACAGCACTGACTCACCTCATTCACCGACTCACAGCGCTGACTCACCTCATTCACCGACTCACAGCACTGACTCACCTCATTCACCGACTCACAGCACTGACTCACCTCATTCACCGACTCACAGCACTGACTCACCTTATTCACCGACTCACATCACCGACTCACCTTATTCACCGACTCACATCATCGACTCACCTTATTCACCGACTCACAATACCATGAACAAGTTGAGAGCCAGTAAGCCCTCGGCCATCCTGGCAGCATCTACAAAGGAAGAGCCAGGCCAGTATGACTACATATCAAATGGAAGGGATAGAACAACAGATGGGAAAGGGAAGAGAGGAAGGGGTTGAAACCCGTCCCATCCACCTGGACGGGCAGGGATCGAACCTGCAGGAAACGAGGTCCTCGCTATAATGACCGGTCCAAGGGCCAGGGGAGGCTTCAAGACCCTCTGCCCTCTCAAGGCACTTGAAGCAGAGAGACTGTTCTTCAGGGCCACACTTGAAGTAGAGAGAATGTTCTTCATGGCCACACTTGAAGTAGAGAGAATGTTCTTCATGGCCACACTTGAAGCACAGAGAATGTTCTTCATGGCCACACTTGAAGCACAGAGAATGTTCTTCATGGCCACACTTGAAGCAGAGAGAATGTTCTTCATGGCAACACTTGAAGCAGAGAGAATGTTCTTCATGGCCACACTTGAAGCACAGAGAATGTTCTTCAGGGCCACACTTGAAGCAGAGAGAATGTTCTTCATGGCAACACTTGAAGCAGAGAGAATGTTCTTCATGGCCACACTTGAAGTAGAGAGAATGTTCTTCAGGGCCACACTTGAAGCACAGAGAATGTTCTTCATGGCCACACTTGAAGCAGAGAGAATGTTCTTCATGGCCACACTTGAAGTAGAGAGAATGTTCTTCATGGCCACACTTGAAGTAGAGAGAATGTTCTTCATGGCCACACTTGAAGCAGAGAGAATGTTCTTCATGGCCACACTTGGAGCAGAGAGAATGTTCTTCAGGGCCACACTTGTGACTATCATTTCCGAAAATGATATAATTCACACAATTAATGCTATATCTCCCCACAATGTGGGGAGGGCCACACCTCCCATACATACCCGATCATGTAGATATCCCATCATGTAGATATCCCATCATGGAGATATCCCATCATGTAGATATCCCATCATGGAGATATCCCATCATGTAGATATCCCATCATGGAGATATCCCATCATGTAGATATCCCATCATGTAGATATCCCATCATGGAGATATTCCATCATGCAGATATCTCATCATGCAGATATTCCATCATGCAGATATCTCATCATGCAGATATCCCATCATGCAGATATTCCATCATGCAGATATCTCATCATGCAGATATCCCACCATGCAGATATCCCTTCATGCAGATATCCCATCAAGCAGATATCCCATCATGCAGATATCCCATCGTGCAGATATCCCATCATGCAGATATCCCATCATGCAGATATCCCATCATGCAGATATCCCATCATGCAGATAACCCATCATGTAGATATCTCATCGTGCAGATATCCCATCATGCAGATATCCCATCATGCAGATATTTCATCGTGCAGATATTCCATCATGCAGATATCCCATCATGCAGATATCCCATCATGCAGATATCCCTTCATGCAGATATCCCATCATGCAGATATCCCATCATGCAGATATCCCTTCATGCAGATATCCCATCATGTTGATATCCCATCATGGAGATATCCATCATGCAGATATCCCATCATGCAGATATCCCATCATGCAGATATCCCTTCATGCAGATATCCCATCATGCAGATATCCCATCATGCAGATATCCCATCATGCAGATATCCCATCGTGCAGATATCCCATCATGCAGATATCCCATTATGCAGATATCCCATCATGCAGATATCCCATCGTGCAGATATCCCATCGTGCAGATATAGCATCATGCAGATATCCCATCATGCAGATATCCCATCGTGCAGATATCCCATCGTGCAGATATCCCATCATGCAGATATCCCATCATGCAGATATCCCATCATGCAGATATCCCATCATGCAGATATTTCATCGTGCAGATATTCCATCATGCAGATATCCCATCATGCAGATATCCCATCATGCAGATATCCCTTCATGCAGATATCCCATCATGCAGATATCCCTTCATGCAGATATCCCATCATGTTGATATCCCATCATGGAGATATCCATCATGCAGATATCCATCATGCAGATATCCCATCATGCAGATATCCCTTCATGCAGATATCCCATCATGCAGATATCCCATCATGCAGATATCCCATCATGCAGATATCCCATCGTGCAGATATCCCATCATGCAGATATCCCATTATGCAGATATCCCATCATGCAGATATCCCATCGTGCAGATATCCCATCGTGCAGATATAGCATCATGCAGATATCCCATCATGCAGATATCCCATCGTGCAGATATCCCATCGTGCAGATATCCCATCATGCAGATATCCCATCATGCAGATATCCCATCATGCAGATATCCCATCATGCAGATATTTCATCGTGCAGATATTCCATCATGCAGATATCCCATCATGCAGATATCCCATCATGCAGATATCCCTTCATGCAGATATCCCATTATGCAGATATCCCATCATGCAGATATCCCTTCATGCAGATATCCCATCATGTTGATATCCCATCATGGAGATATCCATCATGCAGATATCCCATCATGCAGATATCCCATCATGCAGATATCCCTTCATGCAGATATCCCATCATGCAGATATCCCATCATGCAGATATCCCATCATGCAGATATCCCATCGTGCAGATATCCCATCGTGCAGATATCCCATCATGCAGATATCCCATCATGCAGATATCCCATCATGCAGATATCCCATCGTGCAGATATCCCATCGTGCAGATATAGCATCATGCAGATATCCCATCATGCAGATATCCCATCGTGCAGATATCCCATCGTGCAGATATCCCATCATGCAGATATCCCATCATGCAGATATCCCATCATGCAGATATCCCATCATGCAGATATCCCATCATGCGGATATCCCATCGTGCAGATATCCCATCATGCAGATTTCCCATCATGCAGATATCCCATCATCAGATATCCCATCATGCAGATATCCCATCATCAGATATCCCATCATACAGATATCCCATCATGCAGATATCCCATCATCAGATATCCCATCATGCAGATTTCCCATCATGCAGATATCCCATCATGCAGATATCCCTTCATGCAGATATCCCATCATGCAGATATCCCATCATGCAGATATCCCATCATACAGATATCCCATCGTGCAGATATCCCATCGTGCAGATATCCCATCATGCAGATATCCCATCATGCAGATATCCCATCATGCAGATATCCCATCATGCAGATATCCCATCATACAGATATCCCATCGTGCAGATATCCCATCGTGCAGATATCCCATCATGCAGATATCCCATCATGCAGATATCCCATCATCAGATATCCCATCATGCAGATATCCCATCATGCAGATATCCCATCATCAGATATCCCATCATGCAGATTTCCCATCATGCAGATATCCCATCATGCAGATATCCCATCATGCAGATATCCCATCATGCAGATATCCCATCATGCAGATATCCCATCATACAGATATCCCATCATGCAGATATCCCATCATGCAGATATCCCATCATGCAGATATCTCATCATACAGATATCCCATCATGCAGATATCCCATCATGCAGATATCTCATCATACAGATATCCCATCATGCAGATATCCCATCATGCAAACATCCCATCATGCAGATATCCCATCATGCAGATATCCCATCATGCAGATATCCCATCATGCAGATATCCCATCATGCAGATATCCCATCATACAGATATCCCATCATGCAGATATCCCATCATGCAGATATCCCATCATGCAGATATCTCATCATACAGATATCCCATCATGCAGATATCCCATCGTGCAGATATCCCATCATGCAGATATCCCATCATGCAGATATCCCATCATGCAGATATCTCATCATACAGATATCCCATCATGCAGATATCCCATCGTGCAGATATCCCATCGTGCAGATATCCCATCATACAGATATCCCATCATGCAGATATCCCATCATGCAGATATCCCATTATGCAGATATCCCATCATGCAGATATCCCATCATGCAGATATCCCATCATGCAGATATCCCATCATGCAGATATCCCATCATGCAGATATCCCATCGTGCAGATATCCCATCGTGCAGATATCCCATCATGCAGATATCCCATCATGCAGATATCCCATCATGCAGATATCCCATCATGCAGATATCCCATTATGCAGATATCCCATCATGCAGATATCCCATCATGCAGATATCCCATCATGCAGATATCCCATCATGCAGATATCCCATCATGCAGATATCCCATCATGCAGATATCCCATCATGCAGATATCCCATCATGCAGATATCCCATTCCAGAATAATTTTCCCAACCAATACAATCATGTGAAATCAGATTATTTTTGCTGCTAAATTACGTTGACTTGTGTAATTGTAACCTCAGTGATTGTAACCTTTGTGATTGTAACCTTTGTGATTGTAACCTCAGTGATTGTAACCTTTGTGATTGTAACCTCAGTGATTGTAACCTTTGTGATTGTAATCTTTGTGATTGTAACCTCAGTGATTGTAACCTTTGTGATTGTAGCATCTGTGAGTGTAACCTCTTTGATTGTAACATTTTTAATTGTAACTTCTGTGGTTTTACCCTCTGTAATTGTAACGTTTGAGATTGTAACGTCTATGATTGTAACGTCTGTGATTGTAACGTCTGTGATTGTATAATCTGTTTATATCGCCATTGATGTTAACGTCTTTAATAATAAACTAACTGATTGTTATTTTCTGATTGTAATCTCTGTGACCGAAACCTCTTCATTGTCCCTCTACATTAACATTGTTCAATGCGATCTTGGTGATTGTAACCCTACTGATTGTAGAGTTTCTGATTGTGATATTACGTCGTTAAGGTTATTGTTGTTGACCAGAGTGTGACCCAATTGATTATGACGATTAAAAATCATCTACTGATTGTAAAGCTACTGATTGTGAAATCAGTAGCGCATTGTGACATCAATGTCTGCGACAACAAAGATTGTCAACATACTGATTGTGAATATAATG